CTTATTGTTGGTGGGGTTTGAACTTTGTGGATGGTTTGGATATCCAGTTGAAGATCATCGGATGAGTCCAAACTCAATCCGGTTAAAGGGAGACCAACTTCTTTCTTTCTCTCTTTCTCTCTCTTTTTTTAATTTTATTCTTCGCGGAGAATCTCGTTCGAGTGGAAGAAAGAGAAAGGGTATAGAAGATAGAAGATAGAATATATAGGTAATTGAATAATATCGTCGGGTCAACAAGCGATGTGTTGGCTGCCCTGCATTGGCTTACCTCATTCTCATTCTTCTGGATTGATGTAAATTAAAATCATTAATTGATAGACATTCGTCATCGGCAAACCAGTTCTTTCACGAATACGTCTCCTTGCTTGAAAAATAAAATATATATATATAAAGAAGATAGAGTAGTAATTCCATTGTATGTATTTATGTATGTATGATTAGCTGCACAACAAGAGGATTAGTACTAGTACTGTGTACGACAGTAAAGATGTATTAAATGGCAGTCAGGTGGATATGGGACAAACAAGACATTCTTCCGCCTTTCTTCACCTTCCCTGACGGATCCAAATCCAGCCATTTATATCATCTTTTGTTTTTCTCCCTCAGTAAATTGAGCATTGACCCGTTATTCTTATTCCAACACCCACTTCTCACGAAAGTAGATTACTATATCCACATCCATCCATCTATCTATCTATTCATAAAAAATACTTCCGTCTCTCCCCATATGCTCCGCCCCTGGCTGCGCCAATCGACTCGAGCCGCCCGCTCTCTTCCTTGTTCCCCATGTCCCCGGCCCCATAGCTCTCGACTGCCCACCCTCACGAATCCACCTGTTTCGATTCGGTGCTTACAGACGTCAGCTCTAGAGTCGCAGGATCGTGTACCACTCCGAAAGCAGCTCAAACAAAATGCGAAGGCCTTAAAAGCCGAGAAGCGTCAGAGAAGGGAGAACGAGGAGGCTTCGCGACAAAAATGGGAGCTCACTGTCGGCATTGAGATTCATGCGCAGTTGAATACCGAGAATAAGCTATTTTCACGTGCGATCACAACTTTCTTTTTCTGACAAGCATGGATCTGACTTCGGTTTGACCAGGGGCTCCGACATCATCCACCGACCTACCCAACTCCAATGTTGCGCTGTTTGACCTGGCTTTCCCAGGCAGCCAGCCGGTTAGTGTTCGAGATCAGATTTTCGATAATCAGTAGAGGCTGAACGGCTTTAGGAATTCCAAGTTGCAACTCTGTTACCTGCCCTCCGCGCCGCCCTCGCTCTGAACTGTGATATTCAGCCCGTGAGCAGATTCGATCGGAAACACTACTTCTATCATGACCAGCCAGCCGGATACCAAATTACACAATACTATGGTGAATATAAAATTGCTCCAGTGCTGTGGCCGTGAGTTAACCCTCGCAGAACCTTTTGCAAGAAACGGCTATGTCGATTTGTTCGGCTACGATGGGATCGCGCTAGAAGATGGCGATCACGTTCGCATCGGCATCAAGCAGGTACAGCTAGAACAGGACACGGCCAAATCACAGGAGTACCCTCCCTCCACGCAGCTGATTGATTTTAACCGCGTATCCCACCCCCTGGTCGAAATCATTACGATGCCCCAGATCCACACACCCGCCACGGCTGCAGCGTGCGTCCGGAAGATTCAAGCAATCCTTCAATCGTGTAGCGCAGTCACCACCGGTATGGAATTGGGAGGTCTCCGAGCCGATGTGAATGTCTCGATCCGTCAGCGGGGCGATACCGAGGGGGCGCATCAGTATGGCGGGATCGGCGGTCTCGGTCAGCGCACGGAGATCAAGAACTTGAGCAGCTTCAAGGCTGTCGAGGATGCCATCATTGCAGAAAAGAACCGCCAGATTGCGGTGCTAGAAAGTGGTGGGGTCGTGGAAGGTGAGACCCGTGGTTGGACGATTGGGAGCACGGAAACACGGAAACTTCGAGGCAAGGAAGGCGAAGTAGACTACCGGTATATGCCTGATCCGGATCTACCACCGCTACTCATCGGGGCTGATCTCGTGTCGGCGCTGGCCAACACATTACCGACTTCCTCGGACAAGTTGATTGGGCTGTTGATGAGTACAGAATACGGCCTCTCGATTGAAGATGCCAAGCCGCTGGTTGAGCTAGAGGATGGAGCTCGGCTGGAGTACTACCAGGACGTGGTGGATATCCTGCACGATCTGCAGCAAGACCAGGATCCCAAGAGCCGTGGGGGCCTGGCACGCATTGCCGGGAATTGGGTTCTTCACGAGCTTGGGGGCCTCCTGACTAAAGCGGACCTTCCTTGGGATGCAGAACGAGTCTCTGCACTATCTCTGGCTCAGATCATTGATCAAGTCCAACGAAAGCGTATCACCGGTCCTACCGCCAAGCAGGTGCTGGCCATGGTATTCGACGGGGACCCTCGAGCGATTCCTCAATTGCTCGAGGAGGAGAACCTGCTCCTTCGGCCTCTCTCGCGAGAGGAATACGTTGCGTTGGCTGAAGCAGCAATCAGCCAAAACCCGCAAATGGTCGAGCAGATCCGGACCAAGAACCAACTAGGTAAACTGGGTTGGTTTGTTGGACAGATGATGCGCATGGGCGAAAAGGGCCGCGTGGAAGCGCCCAAGGCGGATGCGATCCTCCGGGAGCTGATTCTGGGGCGGTCTGGTCCTTAAGTGTATTTGTAAAGATCAGTCATGATCGATAATTTCTTCACGGACTGTATAGATAACGTCATAGCCATAATGATGATACCCGTTTCGATTCCCGCACTTTATTAAAAAAAAACGTGAAACAACGACCTTGTAAAATCCCGTCCTATCTCCCTCCTATCACAAGAATGAATAAAATTGCTAATAAAAACTTGAGGGGGTGGAGTGGGATGGCGACGCCGTCGCGGGCATCTCTCCTCCACCTGTACTTAGGGGAAGCCCTCGATCCCTAAAAGCAGGTCTTAGCGATCCTCCAAGGAATGCCCGCGGATGACGCCCCACGATGGCTTCCCTACTTAAAGAACCTCAATTCCCCGGCTGGTCGACTTCTATTTTGTGTTCTTTTTCATATTCTCATATTCATATATTCAAATTCATATTATCTCTCTCTCATCGCAATCCTCCTTTTTGTCCCGTCATTCATTGTTGGTGGTTTCGACCGTTCGGAAGAGATTCCCCACTTGCAAGATCTTATCTTTTTAGCCCGCTTCTAGAATCTTTTTTCTCCCCTCTATCAGATCAAGACTCTCTCTCTTATCCACACTCCAATTCTTCCCTTTCACTCACCATGACTCAACCTTCAACTATCAAACAACGCTTCCTGTCCAAGCCCGGAAACCTGGGTGTGGTCGCAGTCGGCTTCAATGGCGGCCAGGTATGAGGATCCTCCCACGCGCGCGGGTGTCGATCACTTTGAGGGTCACAAGACCATAACTGACCGGGTTCTGATTGACACAGTGCAAACTTGGCGTTGAGGCTGCCCCTATGGCCCTGGTCGAGGCTGGTCTCCTCGATCAACTCCGCGACGACCTTGGCTATACCCTCGACTATGACAACACCGTCCACTACTACGAAAACCAGATCCCCGCCGAGGACCCCGACCACCGCGGCATGAAGAAGCCGCGCGCTGTGAGTGCCGTGACCGAAGCGCTGAGCGCCCAGGTCTACGAGAAGGCCAAGCAGGGTCAGATGGTCTTGACGCTGGGAGGCGATCACTCGATCGCCATCGGATCCATCTCCGGCTCAGCCAAGGCTACCCGCGAACGCCTGGGTCGGGAGCTGGCCGTCATCTGGGTTGATGCGCATGCCGATATCAACATTCCGGAGATGAGCCCTAGTGGAAACATCCACGGTATGCCCATGGCGTTCTTGACTCGCCTGGCCCGCGAGGAGAAGAAGGACATCTTCGGCTGGTTGCAGGATGAGCACATCGTCAGCACCCGTAAGCTGGTCTACATTGGTCTGCGCGATGTTGATCGCGGCGAGAAGCAAATCCTCCGGGAGCATGGCATTAAGGCCTTCAGCATGCATGACATTGACCGGTGAGTTCTTTCTTCCCGTAGCACAAGGAAAGTAGCCCGAAGCTAACCCCTAACAGGTACGGCATTGGCCGTGTGGTTGAGATGGCTCTGGCCCACGTTGGAAATGATACCCCTATCCACCTTTCATTCGACGTCGATGCTCTGGATCCGCAGTGGGCTCCCAGCACCGGTACTCCCGTGCGTGGCGGTCTGACTCTCCGTGAGGGTGATTTCATCTGCGAGTGTGTACATGAGACGGGCAACCTGGTCGCCATGGACTTGGTGGAAGTCAACCCCAGCCTGGAGTCAGTAGGCGCCTCCGAAACCATTCGGACCGGTTGCTCGTTGGTGCGCAGTGCACTGGGTGACACCCTCCTATGAGCTGCTATAGACGTATAGACGGGTAGATGGCGATGGGATGGGATTTTTCTCATTTATTTTTTTTTCTTTTACCTATTATTACATTATGTTTAGATATGACCAAACGGCATTAGGATATGTACAATGACATTGAAACGATTTCAAGACTTTTGAGTTGGTTGTAACTAGTGGTAAAGAGAAAGGTAAGCTAAAATTAGGGTAACTATAGTTAAGAGATATCAAATCCCCTGCCACCGCAATTTCCACCTGCCACCTCATTTTACATCAAATGCTCCACCTTCCCTTCCATCTGGTGATAGATTTCTCTTCTTTCAATTCCTATGTACTTGATTGTCTAAATAAAGAATTCCAGAGTCACCCAGAACGATGAGTCTCTCACCGCTTACATAACAGTGGTTCTCGACTCGCCGTGTCAGTCCAATCGCAAGGAACCCCGAAACAACAGCCCAACGCCATTACGGCGCTGATGCGCTGTCTTTCTGCGTTTCATTCTTGTATCTGCATTCTCGCCACCAATTGAGTCGCCTTGTCTTCTGCCCGACGGGTCCAGTTGTTGCGGTGGGAAGAAGTGACCGCACTTTCATTCTCCCCGCGCAAGGGTACCTGATCAGCACAGCCTATACAAATCCATCCGGCGGGGATTGTATATATAATATAATATATGTACATGCAGACAGGCCTGGTTTGAAATTATAATCCCGACGGGAACAATCATTGACTCACGTACATACTACATTCTTTCCCACATATTCAACTTCCACCCCCAACCTACTGCTTCGTACAATCATCACACAGCATCAAACGTCCCCATAGGGCAAGGAAGCCAAAAAAAAAAATGGCCGTCGTCTACCGTCGCAGACGCTACCACTGGCCCGAACTCCAACTCAACATCTGGATTCTCATCGTCTTATCGGCTTCGGCCATCTGCATGGGCATCTTTGCTTGGCTCATGTCTGTACAATCCGAGATGCGTCTCGGTACACCATGGTACATATTCCTCCTCTATCACAAACTTATCGTCCTTGTTTCATAACCAAAAGGAAAAAAACAACAAAGATGAAGAATAGATTAATATATACTAATTCCAAGATAAAAAAAAAAAGGCTATTCCCATTCATGGTCGTCTCCGGCGCCCTCGGCATCTTCTTCATCATTCTCATTCTCATCCTCGCCGCTCAGCGCTTTCTGCTCCCAGGCATTATCATCCTGGGCAGTTTCATCCTCTTCGTCCTCTGGTTGACGGGGTTGATTGAGACCTCATTGCAGTTGTACGGCGTGGTCGGGAACGTCGATGATAATTGTCAGATCTATGTCGTTGATAATCGGGCAGGCGGGAATAATATGCAGACCTTGGCTTGGTTGACGCAGAAAACTATTTGTGAGTTTCTCTCTCTCTCTCTCTCTCTCTCTCTCTCTCTGTGATTTGTGCTTTTGTTATCCAATTGATCATCCCCGTCAATGCATACTAATCTGGTCGGTACTAGGTGACTGCTGGAAGACAGCTTTTGCCTTTGAGCTGGTGAATACTATCTTCTTTCTTTGGATGATGATCTTATCGTGGCAGGTTAATCGCGATGTATATGATTAATTTCTTGGTCTTTCTTCTCTTTTTCTTTCTTCATTTTACTCTCTGTTGTGTTTTCTATGACCGGATATGATGTTGATGATAAGTGTGCGATGATTTTTGATCGAACTCTGTATATGAAGATATGGGCGTTGTATGGTATATGATATCCAAAAATTTGAGATTTCTTTTTTTTTTCTCTTTGATACTATCGAAACATGAACTATGAACAACTTATCAGACTGTTCAATCAGATGTGAGTCAGATACCCAACGCCATCGCTATGCCATCATTGCATCGCACCAATTGCAACGGAATGAGAAAGCATACTAAATCTTAGCCAATCTGGGATACCAAAATGGTGGTATCAACAACAGCAATATAGTGTTGACCGTATAACTGCCGCAGAGGCAGCTACAGGATCGTCACATACACCTCAACGCCCCAATATGAACAGGTGAAGGAGAAGTCGAGCAAAAACAAATAAGCAAACAGATCAACCGTTTTCCGCCGCAATGTCCTCTTCCGCTTTGGCGTCATAGTCGCCATCCTCGAAAGCAGCCATCATCTCCCGCTCGAGCTCGTCGTCGTCCTCCGCGGGGTCTTCGGGGAAGTTGGCATTTAGGTCTTGAGATGCAGGCTCATCCGATTCTTTTTGCGCGCCTTCATCGTTGGATTCTGTAAGCATGGGCGATTTCTGAGCGGGATCGTCGGTCGCCGCAGTCGCGACCTCTTTCAGTCCCGTGCTTCGCTCGTAGGAGCGCTTGATCCGCTGTGATAGGCGCGAGCGTGGCTGGTCGCCTTCCTCTTGACTTTCTTCTTCGCCCCCGCCTTCTGCGCCTTCGTCACGCTTACGTTTCTTGTTGGGCGTCGCTTCCTCTGCCCAAGACGATACTTCACTGTCGCTTTCGCTTTCATCGTCACTGCCAAGGAACTCTTTTAGTTCCTCGTGGACAGCAGCTAGCTGGTCTTCGTCGTATCCAATCGGTGAATGCTCGTCGAGGCCGGTGGACTTGAGAAGGTCTTCTGTGGATTCTGAAGCGTCCTCTTCCTCGGTCCAAAACTCTCCCGTGTCTTCAGATGACGAAAGCCATCCGCTTTCCATCTCCTTAGAGCCAGGCGAGATTGGCTCTCCTCGGTCATCAGGGTGTACGGGAAGTAAGTACGGCTCCTCATCCAGCCATTTCCATTGCGTCAGGCAGTCCAAGAGCCACTGTGTTGTGACGATCTTGACGTTGGTGTACCGCGTCGCCTCGCGAACCTTAGCCGTGCGGTTACGGCCGGCCACCAGATGGGTAGTCTTCACATTGATCTTCTGAGAAATAACAGCCCCAAAACTCTTCGCCCATAGGGATATGTCGGCGTTCTGAGTATCGGTTCCGAGCGGAAGTACTCCGGAAAATACCAGAATCACCCCGCCGAGGATCTGGCGCTTAATCTGTGGCATGATATCCTTGATGTCAGGCACCAGTTTCAGATCAACGTCCTTGTCTTTCGAAGGCGTCTTCTCGCCTCTCAAAGCTGCCACTCTCCCACCTAACCCCCTCATTCGCCTCAAATCATACTCTTCAAAGAACTGTTTATGCACCTGCTCGAGCCGCTCTTCCAGCTGGAAGAGTTCCCGATCATTATCCTCCAGTAAATGATGCCGATGTTTGCTCGAGTCTTGCGACTCATCCATACTAGAAGAGGAATCAATACTTTCTGCAGACTCTTCTTCAGCATCTAGTTCCTTCTGTTTCTGCAGCAGAGGGCGGTCTTCCACCTGGTGCATTATTGTCTCTTCCTGCGCGTCAGTCTGTTCTTGCAGTAGTCTCGGGTTGTCTCCACCGCCCATGGTCACAAGCTGTTCTAACGCCGACACTTCTCCTTCTGGTTTCGCTGTTGTGCCGTTGACATGATGTTCCAGTGGAGGAGGTTTTGTGTGTCTCGTCCCTGCCTTCTCCCCACTCTTGCTGACTGCCCCCAGCTCCTGTTTCTTTGGCAGAAAACTCGAGTTAATATCCCCGATGCCAACAAAGAAGTCGTACGGAGAAACCTTAATAAGGTTAGGGCTCCAGCGCCAAACGTCACCACGATCGTCGATGATAACAACCATCTTCGTATCCACTGGGAACAAACGATGGAGGTTCTTGGCCGTCAAGCTTCCACTCTCGTCACGACTGAGGATGCGATCGCCGAACAGCTTTCGGTCTGGATCTATGATACTTGCAATGTGTTGCGCATATGCTCGGGTACCCATGGTGTAGATATGCAATTCAAAGAGCTCTGAGACGTTCTGCAAGAAAGACTCTAAACCTGGTCGTAACTTGACATAGTACCAGCAACCGCGCATTCCCGGGCCATCATCTACCAACTGGAATGCTCGAACATCGCTCAGCGCTTGATGGTTTGGGTTATCCTTGTCTTCCATCCACTCTCCAACGGTTGGATCGACGGTGGCATGGATGATGGTCTGGTCAAGATCCACCACCAGGGAAAGTTTTCTATTTGACAGCAGCCGGCGTTTCGCATCTTCCTCCACTCGCGCAGCCTCCTTCTCGCTCACGGTTAGCGCGGTGTTGTCATGGACCATCTGAATCGTTGCACGCATCGAATCTGTCACCTCCGTATTGTATGTAGACCTGTAGGGGATCGCAAGGTTAGTGCTTGTGCGGGAGAGAGGTATAGTGTCATGTATGACATCTCTCCTACTTACTCGGTCATGTCCTTGCCGCACTCCGCACAGAGGCCCCCAAACTGGACTTCATGAGCACATGGCTCATCAATCTCGATGACCTCCACACTGTCCTCGAGTTAACAATCGCCACCACGTAACCGTCGTCAAGGAATTGTGCCACAAGGCGATAGAACTTACGGTTCATCGATGATATCCCCCTTCGCAATCTTCCATTGAACCACCTCACCATCAACAGTCGATTCAAACTTGGTCGGGAACTTGCGTTTGACCTCAATCTTATTGCCCAGCCCATCACCCTCGGTGACGGTCGTCTGGTAGACATACCAGAACAGCGCCTCGTCCCTCTCCACCGAGTCGCCGGGCTGTTTCAGCAGCGACGTTACGGTGATCGGGTAGTGGAGGCTGGGCGGTAACCGAAGAAGCATGCTCCTGTACGACTTGGCTCGTTTCTCTTTCTTTTAATGATTTAATGTTTGATGACCCTACCTCTATTGACAATAGCAATTGACAAAGGAGTAATATGCATGAATTGCGAGTAGAGACCCGGTTCCAGAAGCTATGGCGCCATGCCCGACGCGCCTGACGACGGATTGGAAAACCGACGAGGGTAAGCTTGAACCGGTCCTAGCTTAGACTCGAGGGTGTGTAAAGCCGATGACTGTCAGCTAAGGCGACACGAAAATGTTTAACTTGATTCGCGGGGTGGGATGTGGATTCAGGTAGCTTAGGTCGATCGCCGCAAGATGACGCGACGGGAGAACGACAACGGAAATATCTACAAAAAAGATAATAGAGACAAACGGCAGATGCTCCGCAAAAGCGCAGAGAAAGAAAAGTCTGGGTAAGTAAGGGGTTGGGATTGAGCGAGGATGAAGCAGTTGTTGGATCGTGGGAGAATTGAACCAACGGTGGTGATGACGATGAAAGAGTGGAAAAGCAGTTTGAACCGTTTGCCAGGAAAGCAAGAAAGAAAGAAACAAGGTTTGGTTGCCAAGACCCGCACTCTGTTATTGATTTCGGGAGCCCGTGCGGGGGGGGCGAGACCCTCTCTTATATAAGAAAGTTTACATTCAGCTTCTTTAAAGCTACTTGTAGTTCATGCAGCCAAAGCCACAATATCCTTGGTCAAGACTTGAACAACTCAAAAGGCATGCCCTGACGAGTCGACGATCTTGGCTATGGATATACTTCATAACCTGTCTCGTAGTTCGCTCGTGTGGTGGAAGAACAACTGATTAGTTGGCTGGGTATAAATTGATTTTCCGGTACCATCCACCCGCCAGGTTTTCCTTTAAAATCAAACCTCACGTGAGGGAGCAAAACTGTCTCATTGAGCTTAGTTGAAGATTAGGGCTTGAACTGGGCATGTGTTGAGAGCCGGTAACCTTTGCCGCTCACTACACAAAGTGTCACGCCACATCACCGGTCTAGGCTCAGCGATGGCCACTGCAATCGCTAGTATTCTGCCTACACAGGCAGCTCAAGAGAGAACAACTTTACCTACGACACACCACTATACCTAGCATCAATTTTTTCCCCCGGGACTGTATTTTATCGTTGACCAACCACCGAGCTTCAGCTCCACGGAAACTCCATGGAGCAGGAGACATCTAGATCTATAAATGACCCGCAAAGAGGACTATATTGTCAAAATATACCAACGACCAATTTATTCTACTTGTATCATTAACCATTATCCTATCTTCAAGTTTCAAATGGAATCCATCATCGCCCAAGCCCGATCGCTTGCTGGAGAAGCCGATGGGGCAGGCCGGGCTAAGATCCGGGATGCTATCCGTCAGCTCCTGTTAGAATTGGAGACGCTCAACGACTTGCTCATGGACATTTCAACAATGTAGGCTTGTATTACGTACAGTCAGAACTATACTAAACATATGGCTTTCACTATGTTGTCCTTACCCGACTTACGCTTTCCCAGCACTGGCAGATTGCCGCCGTTCGTCTCGGTATTGAATCGGGGTTATTCCAGTCACGTTCCCAAAGCGAGATACCTCTGCAGGTGGAACCAAGTCGCCGAGAAAACCGGTGCGAGTCCTCAATTATTCGGTAAGACATTGATGCAAGCTTCAATCCATTGATCGCGACATACGGTCTCTGACCCCTACTGCCTGTGGCATCTAGAATGTATACTTCTCTATCTTGCGTCAAATGGCTTCGGCATAGAAGCAAATCATGGGAAGTTCAAAGCAAACAGAGCAATCCATACTCTGGTAAGTCAGATTGCCGAAGCCTTCATTTACCATGCGTATGTATATTCGCCACTGATACATGCCAATGTATGAATCTCCACTAATGACCGCACAGCTTCGACAATTGTGGTCTGGACCCCAAAACCGATGGAGTAGAAACCATGACACATGACATCTTCCAGACACAGGTCGTCAAAGGCAAGTCCTGCATCTATACTCAGAACAACTGCCCCAGTATCACACCGTCCCCGACCGACATACAAATAAACCCTCAAGGCGCCAAATTCTACTACCTCCGTAGAATCCTTCACGACTATCCCGACTCCCATGGTATCCAAATCCTTAAGAACCTACGCGTGGCAGAATTCCATGTCTATGACAACTCAGACAACTTCTCGGTCATCGTGATGGAGCTGAGATAAGTATTCTCTATCTTGTCATTGGCAACTCGGGACTCTGCATCCTTCTTTTTATTTTTTTTATTTTTTTTTCCAAATGACTGCAAATTGTCCGAGGCCGTATGGAAGGATTACACACTAAGTTATCAAGTTAGCAGAGAGGCTCTAAGTATTAGTTGTCTAGTTTGGGCTGCCTTTATTTGGGGGAAAACTATACCGATAGATCAAAAATACGCATGAATATCACAGTGTATAAAGAACTATCGGCATCCAATTTGAATGTCATTAGAGCATAGCCAGCGACTCACTGAGTCATACAAAAATATCAATAACAAACAGGATAGAGATCAAGAGCAAACGAGTCTTTGCCGATTTCCCGTAACTGAAAGGGCCAACTAACTACCGAGCCAGGCTATCATGTACCATTGTCATTCATACACAAGCAATCAATAAAACATAACATGGTAGATTACTTGGTTACTTGGCCTTGGCCAAGCCGACAGCACCGTTGCCGAGGTCGTACACACTGTACCACTTCCTGAGGAATGCATCACCCAGGATGGCCAACGGCCCAACGGGTTCAGGGAAGTCCATGCCCATGAAGGCGCTGATGCAAGATCCCTGGACTTCAAGAGTGTAGTCGTAGGGACCGATGGTAAAGTTGTATCCGCTCAGGGTGAAGGTGAGGTCAGGCAAGGAGTCACGCTTGTCACAGTCAACCGAGTATTGGCCGGTGAAGCCCTTCTTAGCACCAATTTCCTTGTTACTTCAGAGTAGTTAGTAAGAGTATCACAAATGTGCACAGTACACAAGCTCGACTTACATAAGCTCGGCAAGGGTGGTCGGCAAGGCAATGAGGGAAGTGCCAGTATCCAGAATGACACCGGTGTTATCGAGTTCAGCGACGCTATCACCAAGGGCAATAGCATCAAGGTCAACCTCCCAGTAAGCCTTGCGGCGAAGCGGGATCTTGACCAACTCGCCGGTGTAGTGATCCTTGTCAACACCGCCGAATGTCGCTACGGAGTCATCGCCTTCCTTGTTTGTGTCTCCAAGGTAAAAAGCAAAGACTGGCTCGTCGAGGAGGCCCTGGTCGAGCATGCTATAGAAGGGGGGAGGGATTTTGTTGACAGAAATTGTGTCAAATCCCAACCCGAGAATGCCATCAAAGCGGCCAAAGGCAAAAGCAAGACCGGGCTCACTAGTCGCCTCGGCGAACAGCTGATCCTTCACCTTCAGGTCACCGATCTTGAGGGTATCCTGAGACACAAATCCACTCAGGCTACCGGAGCCGTACTTGATGGCAAATTCGCTGCCATTCTTCTGGTACGTGGACGACGAGGATGAGTCGTACTTGTTATGCAAATAGCAGGCGATAGAGCCACACTCCGAGGAGGGCACCCATAGGTTTGAGCTGCCAGTGTCAAGGACCACCTTGAACTTCTGTGGGGGGGTACCGATCTCGATTTCGGAGAAGTCTTTGGAGAATCTAGATGTAAGTAGGAGCTCCCCCGCAAGAACTACTAGGGTTTCGTACATTGTGCATTCAAGAAGTTGTCAACAAGGACATCATGACGTCCCATGTCATTGATCGGGTTCTCATTGAGGAGATCCTGCTTGATGTTGGGACGGATTCCCATGTACTTCTGGCCAAGAGCCTGCACATGGGTATCGATGTTGTGCAAGTTCTGGGTACGATTTAGTCAGACGTTCGTCCCGACAAGCTTTCAGATGTGTAGATGAATATTTGTATGACCAAAATAGCGAGGTCTACTCACAAATTGCTCGGACACGGGCACCTTGTTGAGCTTCAGCTTGTGAACCTCGGCGGAAGCACAGCCCAACAGCACAGAGGCTGTAACCAAGGTTGACTTCATGGTGGGCGACAACGGCAACAGAAAAACAGTACCTTAACGAACGAAATCAAAAGAAAACTAGCAATACTCTATCGATATGGGACTATAGGAATGATGAAAAACAATAAGGGTATGGAAAGGGATAGACGATGGGATGGAGAGGGAAAGGAGGAGGATGGACAGGGAGAGGTACCTCCAGTTCTGGGGGAGGGAAGTGAGGTGATGCGGACCGGTTGCGGAGCGACCTGGGTACCAACCAATCATGAAGCAAGTCGATGCGTCATTGGATTGAAGCGGAGATCCTGCATCCCGGGTGTCTCATCACTTGATCTCCCAGGTACGGAACCTTTACAATACCGCCAGGAACGCTTCTCATGTATGTATGTATGTATGTATGTATGTATGTATGTATGTATACATTTATTGTCAAGTAGAAGGAAATCTCTCTATTTCTTGATTTCAGCCCAACTCACTACCTCAATAATACCATACTCAGATCCATCTGTGTCTTTATCACTAACCCAGGGTGTGGAATCGATTGCCGCCGCGGATGATGTAAGACCGCCTCGGGAGCTAGTAGGCTGATAAGTACTAAATGACGGTATGCACATCCATACCACTGCCCAAGGATCGCCGCCTATCTACATAACAACCGTAATCTTGGCGAGACTGATAGGTACCAGTAATACTCACAAGCGGAGCTGCACTGCCGTCCCTGATAGGTAGCCGACGCAGAACTACGAGGCTACGCTACTAGAGATACCCTCATTCGATCGAATCATTACACGTACTTCCTGCTGCTTCACCACGGTGGGCACTTCAAAACACATCAATCATTTTCCTACATATGTGATAAGAGCCTGAAGTTTGACGTTACAACTCATGACCACCCTTTCGCCACGTTACCCGGTATTTCTAGCTCATTAAATACTACCATAAAAATACACCCCATTTACCGGTAGAACTCAAGCCTGCAGTTAGGTTGTTAGTTATGTACGATAACAGGGGACCGTAACTGAGTAATATGACATACCTGTCCGCTTCTTGTCCAGTCTTCACTTGGGCAGCATAAGCATCCTCAAGGTCAGATTGAATAATGTTGTACCGATTCTTCCGCACGGCTCGTAGACCAGCCTCCTGCATGATGGCGGCAATGACAGCACCAGACAAGGGCTCATTACGCACAATCAGCGAGTCAAGGTCGACCTCAGGGGACAAGGACATCTTAGATGCGATAGTGGTGAAAATCAACCGACGCTCTCGCCGATCACGGAGAGAGGGGAACTCAATCTTTCGGTCCAGACGACCTGGGCGCAGCAGGGCCGGATCCAAAGTATCGGCCCGGTTGGTAGCCATAATGACTTTGACATTGCTCGATTGCTCGAATCCATCCATTTGATTGAGGAGTTCCAGAAGAATACGTTGGACCTCACGATCAGCACCAGTCTGAGCGTCAAAACGCTTTGTGGCGATGGCGTCGATTTCGTCGATGAAGATGATAGCGGGGGCATTCTCACGGGCCATCCTGAACACATCACGGACCATGCGAGGACCTTCACCCAAATACTTTTGGACAAACTCGGAACCGTTTACTCGAATGAAGCTGGCAGTTGTGCTATTCGCCACCGCTTTGACCAGCATAGTCTTACCTGTTCCGGGAGGACCGTATAGCAGGACACCACGAGGAGGATCGATACCTACGATAGTAAGTAACACTGCACAATCGCCAACTCATTCAGATCTATCGACCCACCAATTTGTTTGTATAGGTCGAAGTGTGTCAATGGCAGTTCCACCGCCTCGCGGATTTCCTGCTTCTGCATATCAAGTCCACCAACATCGGCATAGGTGACGTCTGGCTTCTCATTTTCGCCTAACATAGCGATGGAGGAATCGGCCTCTGGAGGTAGGATATCGACGAGGGCGTTGGAATGGCGATGAAGAGCGACCGAGGATGATGGTTTGAGCTTCTCACGGTCGAGCGTGGATAGAATCCGGACGACATAATTAGAACCGGTTGACGATTGGACGATCCCGGTACTGGAAAACCTCCATTAGCAAGATTCCTCTATCAAATGCACTTTAGGCCCATACTTCTGGTCGATCGCCTCCATGAACTGGCCTATAACCAAGGGAACACTTTGTATCCGCTTAATTTCCTCCTGTGCACGAACGAGCTCTCTTTTCAAGCTCCTATTGTTCAGATTTGATGTTAATAATACCGCCGCTGTGGTGAGGGGATAATACTAGCTTGCCTTTGCTCATCCTTGATGTACTCCTCCTGGAGCTGGATGTATCTATTGAAGCGTCAGTACCGACCATGGGGACTTTCCGTTTCCAACATACTCTAAGTGTCTCTGTAGTTTCTTCAAAGTAGCATATTCATCACCTCCATCGGTCCCTGTGCCTTCGATTGAGTCTATGTTGGGGATGGTGTCCAATGGTGCCGGCTTGGTATGAGGCGTGACGTTGTTCGCCGGATTCTCCACGGCGACGTCTCCCATGGTGGAAATTTAACACAGGCAAGAAGCGGTGACGTTGAATATTCGATCGTAGAGAAGGTATGAAGGATGGCTGGGAAATCCGAGTGGGAGATCTAACGGTTAGGTAGTGTTGATGGAATCGGAGCTTCTGCTTTGATCATAACCAGACTGGCTCGACGTAGCTTACGGTTTCGGTCACGTGGATAGGAGCTCGGCCTCAAGTTTTACTAGCAGTACTAGTAACCACATCGTCAACTGTGTCTAATGCCCGAATGTAGCAACACATCTGTGAGAATCAAATCGAATGTCAAATAACTGTGTCGCATTTCGTAGAAAAAAAAATCGCAGTCTCTCAGCCACAAATATCTTGACCTGGTGCTATACAATACAATAAGCAGCCAGTCATCACCACTATTATGGGTTAGATAACTATAGGTAATTGGCCCATGTCTCTAAGAGACAGTTCGCTCCGATCGGATAGAATTCAATATATAGTTCCTACGTGGTGTGCTGTTATGTTAATGAGAGCCCTCTTTCGAATGTGCATGGGGCGTTGTGTGCTAATTTGGAGTAGATATATATATATATATATGGTGAGAGATCGCCGATGATCACTCTGTCAATATTACTATATGTGTTTTATTCTTAATACCCAATCATTATTTAAGTTCTAAGTATTGACCGAATATCGGGACTTGTCTGAACCACGGAGGGCGAGCCTAAATCGTAATTGAACTAGCCATAGTGCCCCCATATCCATGGTTGTTGGTTGACTATTACCAACCAAATACCATTATATAGTGGAGAATTGTAAGGACGTGGCAGGGTTGACAATGAACGGCCTCTTTTGCAAAATAGAAAAGAGGGAGACAGAAAGAGATCTAAAGCATGATCAATACATGGTTGAACGGATGCGTGCAAGGGCTGGCAGATAACGAGTGCGATCCGTAATATGTCCATTCACATTGACAACCCAGACCGGGCGGATTTATTGGGTGGGCTTAGCACGGAGTAACTGATGGAACACTGTTACAAGGGAATCAGGTGCCCTCGTCGTCTATTCCCTTGTCACAGTGATCTTTTTCTTTGTGGTTTGTTTGTTTGAATTTTTCTCTGTCTCTCTCTCTTTCTTCCATCTATCTAGCACTCTCCTGTCCTCAGGTCCTCCTGAAGAGCTCATTCCCAAGATTCTGCCCGACGCAGTTTCTCATTACCCCCAACACAATCTCCATTTTGATACCCACATATGCATCCACACAGGCAATTGAAGATTCGGTGGTCTCCCAAGCCAGCAGAAACCGAACTATTCTATGACATGTTCAAAACTACGGAGTACTCAACAGATTACCATCGCTGTTTCTTTGGACAGGTTACAGATATGCTCGAGTGGTTGTTTTCTTGGACAAACCAACAGATCGGACCAAGGCCGTCCATACTACCAATGAGTAAATTGATCTTGGCCAGTTGAATCACTACTATCAAGTCTTCCAGCGACCATCTCAACCTCTTCTCAGCGCGAAAATAATGGTAGAGGCTTCTCTTAAGGGGCACGAAAGAGGGAAACCCGACCAAGTTCTTCAGGATGAATGCTCTAAATCAGTTGGACAAAGTAAAATGCTCATGGAACAAACCTGTGATTGACCAGGACGTCCGAAAGGGGGAAAGTGGGATACCCCTCGATCCACCATGGCCGTTACCTAAGCTCCAGCCTCTTTCGTCTTGCCGCCGCTTTCCGCCTACTGTTTCCCTCTCTCTTCCCCCTTTACCGCCAATGCTAACCGACTGCTGATGACTGCCTGAGACTTCTCTTATGTTCTGCTGCCCACTGGTAAAATAACTTACTGGAAAGTCATACGCCAGGTTTTCGTATGTACCCTCCCTTTCTATCCCGTTTCTTGTCCTTAGTCTCTTTTGACTCCTGAGGCGTCCGTTTCTCTCTCCACGCCCGTCTCCATTCCTGCCTATCTACCCCGTGCCTCCACTTTCCTTTCTTCCAAGCGATCTCCTTTCCCTCCCCAAGGCAGTAGGGGAATTAAAATTAAAACAAAAAAAGAAAATTCTAAATTAAAATACAACATTTAACACGGCCCTACAGATTATTGCAGTCATTATTCAGGTACGCCTGTCATGTCATTCCTTCCCCCCGCTTGTCTTCAGTTATTGGGTTTATCTTTTTTTTGCCCATCACACGCTGCACCAACTGTGGCCACGCACTGCTACCCGTCTCTCCATTCTTCGGGTCTATCACGCACGCTACAAATGATAGTTTCTTATTGTTTGATGGCCTACCCATAATTTTTATTTTTATTATTTTATTTTATTTTATCTTTTTTGTACACTCTTGTACTAGCCTAGAAGCTACCCTACTCCTGCTATTTGCTAATGGTTTCTGTCCCCAGCTCGTCAGTCCGCTATTACACCAGCGACCTTTTTTCTGCCTGCGGCGCCCATGGTCCCGTGACCTCACATCCTCGCAACCTTCCCTCAGGCTTTCCAACCGCTACCATTTCGGGACCGGCTTTCCATCCTCCGCTTGTGAGTCGGCATTTTAGTTGTCCAGCCTTGTCGGTATGTACATCATTAATGTTCCTTTGTCTACAAAGAAAATGTGTCCTACCCCAGTTTACCCTACCCACCCTCTACTTCACTTCCATGTCGGTCCAGACTGTAGTGTGGTCGGTAGTGTGTTCGGTGTCGCAGACCAAGGCGCGACTCGCCTCACACTCCGGCTTGACGCGTCTAGAACCCTCAAACGACGATTAATCGAATTTCAGTTATCTAGCTTTCTATCTGGAGCTATGATGGTTTTAATATCGCATTCATTGTTGATGCTTATTGATGATTGAAATCATACTCTACCGTGTGTCTCATTAAGTCTGACAGCTTTCATCCTGCAGATGGGTTGGTAAAACCACACGACATGAATGCCTGGCTAGCCGACGCCTCGAACCTCCCCAACCATGATAATGGTGCCTTCCACCAGGCGACTATAGATCCTTCCACCGCCTTCCTCCATGCATCTCCTACTCCCGATCCTAATCAATTCCAGCGCATGTTCAATGGTGTGCCGCGAAATGCATCTCCTGGTTTCCACAATCCTAACCAGGTGATCCCGTCTAAGCGCTCACGTCCCGAGGATGGCATCTCAATGTCACCCCGGCAAGCGCCAGGTGGACTAGCTGCCTCGCGATCACAGACGCCTCATCAGGTGCCTTTCCCAGGGTACCAAGGACCGACAAACGGCGCTACACAATTCGCCCCGCATCCTGCTCAGTACCAACATCTTCAACAAGGGACATCGCCAAATGTGAGTCAGTCACCGATTATCCAGGACTTCGACCAGCATGGTGTGCAAAGAATGGGAACGGCGTCCCCCAGTCCATTCTCTCCCGCTGGTCCTCATGTTGGGCCCCACGTATCGCCGTCGCAGCCGGATCATCCAAGTAGAGTCAACACTCCGCAAAATAGCTCATTCATGCCTGGTCAGCCATTCCCCCAGGGTATGGGAGGGCAGTTTTCGCCTGCAACCGCTATGACCTCCGCCGGTGTGCAAGCACCGATGCAAGCGCATTTCAGTGGCATGCCACAGGGATACCAGGCAATGGCTGCCCAACAACAACAGCAGCAGCAACGAATACATGCCATCCAAATGCAAAACCAAGGCCGTCCGATAAATATGAACCCCGCTCTGGCTGGGCGTCCCGTGGCGGCTGGTATGAACGCCATGGCCAACCCTCAGCAAATGGCGGCCATCAGACAAATGCAGCAGACGATGTCGAAACCTCCTAATCCGGAGGGATTTATGAGGTCGTTGCAGAAATTCATGATGTCGCGAAATCTACCTCTGGATCCGAATCCTATTGTCTGTGGGCGCCCGATTAATTTGGTGCAACTTTATGCTACCGTTATGAAGCTGGGTGGGTCAAAGAAGATCAACGCCGCGAACATGTGGCCAGTAATAGCTCAGCAGCTTCAATACCCCCCGATGCAGTTTCCGATGGCCGTACAAGAGATTCGAGAGCACTACCAGCGGAACCTTGCTGCTTATGAGCAAGCTTTCCTTAGCACGCAGCAGAAGCAGTACGCGGATCAGATGCAGCAAAGTGCACTGCCGCGACAACCTAGTGACCCCTCAGGCATGCAGTTTCAGTCACCATCTGTGAAGCCAACTCAAAGTTTCGAGGCTTCACAGCAACTTGGACAGCCTTCTCCTAGTAATGCACCAGTACCAAACAATATGCCTAACAACATGCCTAATGGGTTTGCTACTCCTACGCCAGTGAAGGCGCCGAATAAGCAACAACAGCAGCAACAGCAACAACAACATCAGCAGCAACAGCAGCAGCAGCAGCAGCAGCAACAACAACGTCAGCATAGACTCAGTGTCTCTCGCCAATCTCAACCGCCTGCAACGCCTCACGACGCTACCGGGCAACTATCCGGCCAGTCGCCCGCACCATCTGCCAAAGGTCCAGGTTCAGTGTCCGGAAAGGTGTCAGAGCAGTTTGATCAGAATGCTGAGCAGCCTCTGAAGCATCCAATCGAGGACCCTTTCAAGCCTATGGTCTTGCCGGAAAGCAACCTTCATGGCCCAGTCGGGGTGGATGAAATTTATCAGCTGAGTGAAGAAATCGCGAGATTCAAGCCTAACGTTCCCGCCTTCTCCGAACTTGGCGTAATTGATATACACGCGCTCACAATGAGTATCAAGTCAGGGATCCACGCGGAGATGCGCCTGGCTTTAGATACCCTTGCAACTATATCCTGTGAGCCGGCAATTCAAATCTCACTGGACAACTGCGAGGATTTGGTTGACAGCTTGGTTGAGTGTGCAGAAGACCAAGCTGAATTCCTTGCTGAGCATGCTGCTGAGGTATCAGATGTCATGCTTCTTCCGTCGTATGAGGAGGTTACTCGGGGTTGTCAGTCAGAGTGGACATCCTTGGCCGATATTCCCGAGTTTGGAAGTCTTGATTATGATCTAGACCGAGCTGTTGATAGACTCATCTGTATCACAACGATATTGCGCAACTTTTCATTTACTGAGTCGAACTTTGGCGTACTTTCAACACCACCGGTCGTGCAATTCATCTCCACTATCATTCGCTACTTGGGAACTCGAAATATGCTTTTACGAAACAATCAGAATACCCTGGATTTCATGAAGGACACAGTCATATATCTGAGTAACCTGGCCCACACTATTCAACTGCCGAGCAAAGAAGAAGCTCTCTCTCTCCTACACTTTCTCCTGTCATTTGCCCCATTCCCTGGACCGAGTCAGGGACCGGATGGCATCATGTTCACCGCTTACAGTGCTTCTGTCCATAAATATACACCGGCAGCGGTAGACAGCCTAGCCAAGCTTCTGGCGCGCGATGAGCCCAATAGGACTTTTTTCAAGGCAATCTTCTCCGGGGACGGAAGTGGCGTCCCTCAGCACGAGTTGCTTACCCGTGCCTTTGGCCTTGCTATTTGCCCGGTTCCCGACCAGCCTCGGAAACCGTTAGCTATAGCAGATGCTCGCAAAGTTTTCCTCATGCAGGGCCTGTTAGCCGCCGACATCCTTTCCGGGTTTGCGGACGGTAATCTTGCCAAATCATGGCTTGAATCGGTTGACGGATTTGCCATTCATCTTCTTCGACTTTCCTGCCTCTTGAGTACCGAACGTGTTCCTCCCACCAACAATAACCCTCGTCAATCACATGCTGCCAGAGGACAGGCTGAAGCGGAGGCTGCTGCCTATAGTTCCATCATTAACCGAGGGTTGGCCATTCTCAGGAGACTAGCTGAGAAGTCTAAACATGCCGACTCGAACTCGGCGTTACGGTTCCCGTCGGGGATAATCCCAAAGAAAGAGAGCTTACTCGGGGCGTTGCTCATGCACAATGTGGATCCTGGCGTCGTACGGCAACTGATAACGTACGCGCGATTGGCAGAATGACCTGACTTTAAATAGTGTGTGCGTGGGGTTGGTTTTTCTTTTGGTTATTAATAGCGTCGGTGAATGTCTAGCATCACTCTCAATATGCCATCTTGATGTTTTACTTTCTGTCATGTCTTCTATTGAGTAAACCATTTATTCTTGTGATTTTGTCTGGCGCCGGTGGGAAGATACGTGAGGCGTGACCTTTTGATTTGTGTATCTTTGCTTATCGCTGTACAATGCTCAATACCCTCGGGCGAAAGATCATGCATGATGTCTCAATGGGTAAATTTACTTCATGGTCATTATTACCTCCCTTTTCTTGCTTTTGCTCTTCTTGGTGTAAACTAAACTGCTTGGACAGCGGATGGTGAACTTTGTAAATGCCCTCGTTTGGGGCATAATGCAGCAAGTGCAGATTTCTACTACATCCGCATACCAATCGTCCAGTGACACACGCCTGCCACTTCATTCATGATCTATGATATAGAACCCATGACATTGTTCAATGGGACTGAAAATCTTTCTTTTGGGTTGCGATAGCTTATTCAATCAGTGTGATTTCCTTCCATCTACTATGTGCTGTTACGTGAGTCAATCAAGGCGCCAGATCAGTGTCTATCAAGACATATTCAGATTTACTACCTAGACCTAATTATTCTGTTTGCGCATGCTGTACTCTGCCCACGAGAACCCAGCCATTCGTCGACATTAGCCACAGAATTAGCGCAAAAGCAACCGTGAAGTCATGGAAATGTACAAAGATACAGAAGAGTGGTACGAAGCAGATGGAGAGGTGAGATCAGGACGTGAGAAAGTGGCAGAAACATGCCAGAATACAAGCCGAACTTCCGACAACACGAACAAAACTGAAAATGCGACAGAACACCCAGCACGGAAAATAATACAAAGCAAATAAAAGCTAGATAAGATGAAAAAGAGAAAGAGGTGCAGTAGAAAGTAAATGGGACCATCCTCAGCCGATGATCAGCAAAGACCTTCTCAATCAGGTGTTTGCTGCCTGTATTCTCTCCATTCTACTTTCCACTTGTGTATAATTGATTTCGGCAGACTTTAGTTCCTGGATGCCCTGTGGTGGACTCGACATATAACCTTCTGGTTCAAACTTTTGCCTGGAAGATGGATAGGGAGTCGATGATCGAGCGAATAGTGGAGGGAGATGGAGAGGAACGTGCAAATTACTCATATCCAGGGCTTTTATCGGTTCTTCATCTTCTAAAAATTACGCTCCAAGAGGAATTTCTGAATCTCAGGCTTTCGCCAGCCCTGCAACGTGCATAAGTTAGCATCATACGATGCTCCTGTAAGGAGGCACATGACTAAAGCGTACCTTGACAATGATATGTCCATTAAGGCGGTTGATTGTGATGTCTGAGCTCTTGGGAGAGCGAGGCTCGCCGGATTCAAGACCCAGAAACTGTGCAAGGTCGTTCCTTAATGCATCCAGGTCACCTTCGGTCTTCTGTATCTTGGTCTGCTGCTTGGTACCACCGGCCTTGGTAACCAGGTATACAGGAAGTTGGTTCGAGGCAGTGCGACGAATGAAATAGGGAAGATTTGTGAGTTGCAAATTGGCCGATGATGGAAGGGAAGTAGCTGTCGAAGGGGCGTTCTCTTTCAGGGTCTGGGACTGGCGTTTTAGTTGTACCAGGAAGGTCCGGCATTGCTGTGTAGGGGCTGCGGAGCGGGGATTGAAGCGTTGGAGGGACCGGAGGGAATATTCTGAAACGGATCAGTTAGGTTTTCCCCGAATATTCTCTTTGTTCACGGCCAAATTTCTCTCATTTCTTCCTTTTTATAATAAGGTAGCTTGTCCTCCACCGGACCAGGCATGGAATAGGCGGAAGCCTTGTACTACTTACGAGAATTGATCAATCTAGAGGATGAAGATAGTGTAGAGAATGAGCTACATGTCCTTGAAGTAGAAGCAATGGACTGCGAAGCATTTTGAAGATAGGTAGGTAGAACCGTCGACTGCTTGCGAACGGCCGAGCAGACGGGACGGGACTGCAGGAGAGACGCCATCGGTCCAGGAGAGATCTATGGAAGGGAAGAGCAACAGGAGAAATTCCCAAGGCGTTGAATCCGAGGCAGGCAACCCAACACCGAATCACCCAACGTTGAGGGGAATAGCACGACGCGGCAAAGCAGCTGTAAGAGAGGATCGAGTGTCTTCCGATCTTTGCATGAAAAGCGATTTCTTGCGCGGAGACTGCGCGCTAGCCCCAACCAGGCCTAGCGTGACCGCCAGCCCTCCCGCCCACATTTTCGCCAGCGCAAAAGAAGAGAAGACCGCCGCACACTGACTTCAGTCAGAGATCGCACCAGTCTCGCTGCTTCCCCGGTCCACGCCCTCTTACCCCCCTCCTCCTTATCTTCCCTCGAGACGCTGCCGCCGTCGTCAGTCGTTCACCATGGCAGCCAACGTTCCCCCTTCCGCAGAGACTTTGCTCAGCGGTGCCGCCGCTCACCCCCCCAAGACCGCTGAAGAGATCGCCAACCAATATGATTTGCTACCCAAGTTGATCCCCTTCCTCGACCGCCATCTTGTTTTCCCTCTGCTCGAATTCAGCTCCGGCCAGGATGATGATAAGGAGATTGTGCGGGCGAAATATGAGCTGCTGAAACATACCAACATGACCGACTATGTCGCCAACCTGTGGCAGGAAATCAACAACTCCGATACCATTCCCGATGAGTTTGTCAAGAAGAGGGAGGAGGTTCTCGCTAAGTTGCAACACTACCAGGAGGAGAGCGCCAAGATCACCGAATTGCTTCAGGATGAGGATGTTGTTGGTAACCTGCGGAGTGACAAGGTTGCCAACTTGAAGTTCCTCGAGGAACAGCACGGGGTTACTACCGAGATGGTCAACAGCCTTTTCGACTACGGCCGCTTCCAGTACAGTTGTGGTAGCTACGGTAACGCTGCCGAGCTGCTGTACCAGTTCCGTGTTCTTTCCACCGATAACGACAAGGTTGCCTCGGCCACATGGGGTAAACTTGCCTCAGAGATTTTGACCACCAGCTGGGAAGCTGCCATGGAAGAGGTCCAGAAGGCCAAGGAGTCGATCGAAACCCGCCTATTCAACAACCCCCTGGGTCAGCTCCAGAACCGCTCCTGGTTGATCCACTGGTCTCTTTTCCCCTTCTTCAACTACGACCCCGCCCGCGATGTCCTGACCGACCTTTTCTTCTCTCCTGCATACATCAACACCATTCAGACCCACTGCCCTTGGATCCTGCGGTACCTCGCTGCCGCTGTTATCACCAACCGCGGCCGTGCACACAAGAACAGCAGTCTCTACCAGAAGCAGCTGAAGGACCTCATCCGGGTTGTCCGCCAGGAGGGCTACGAATACTCCGACCCCATTACCGACTTTGTTAAGGCTTTGTACATCGACTTCGATTTCGAGGAGGCCCAGAAGAAGCTGGGTGAGGCCGAGGATGTGTTGAGGAGCGATTTCTTCCTTGTCTCTGCGGCCGATGCTTTCGTCGAGGCTGCTCGTCACCTTATCTCCGAGAGCTACTGCAAGATCCACCAACGGATCGATATCAAGTATGTAACCGAGAATGAACATTGCAATCTGGGCGGATAGAAAGGAAACTAACGTGATACAGGGATCTTTCCACCCGTCTCGGCCTAAACCAGGATGAGGGTGAGAAGTGGATTGTCAACCTCATCCGCGACACCCGGGTTGATGCCAAGATCGACTATAAGGAGGGCACAGTGATCATGAACCACCCCCCTCAGTCGGTGTACCAGCAGGTTATTGAGAAGACCAAGGGCGCATTCTTCCGGACACAAGTCTTGAGGTTCGTTAAAACTTTCTGCATAGAAGCTTTACCCAGCTTGACCAAGCAACTAACCTCGGCGTTAATCCAGTGCGGCCGTGGCGAAATAAACACACTTTATGCTATAAAGCACGAATTCGTCTTTTACCGTTCTCTTGTTGGTTCTGTTCATGTTTAGTATTCCCCCGCGGAGTGTGGGCTTCTTGAGTGATGGGACCAAGCAGAGTGGCATCAGGCTGGCGTTCAGGTGGTCCACTTTTCATATTCTCTTTCTTTTCCAATTGTCTTTTAATCTCTTGCACCGATCTAGTTGGTTGGCACCTCCTGTCGTGAACCTTTGTTATGAAAATATTTCGATTGAAAGATTATCGATTAAGTCTTACATTGCTAGGCGAGCCTTAAAAAAAAGCGAAAAGGAGAGAAGGAGAGAAGCGACAAAAAGGGGACACTCAAAAAGAAAGAGGGAAGGAAAGGAAGAACAGCACAGTATTCTTCTTTTGCGGATTGGGAGGGCAACGGACTGATACTCTTTTTTTACTTGTTCCTACGATATAAAACCTGCTTTCCATGTGATTGGTCTATGCTGTTACGAATGATCTATAGAGATGAGTGGAATTATAACCCTGTGGTTTTACTTAGTCCATCTATCTAAACGATTCTTCATCTTGACTCCCCCTTCTTGGTCAGATATACGTCTCATCATGGATAGCTTCATATCGGGGAGGGGTTCGGTAGCAGAAGCCCTAACTACTACTAAAAGTCAACTAGGACATATGACGTCGCCAGGACGAACAAGATAGTATTGTTATTCTAGATCTAAGCTACAAGAATGACCTAAGCAGGAGAGACATGTCATGCTTTTTGATGGACAGTAAAAAGGCTGAGATGAAATAACAGGGCTGTATGAATGATGAAGATTAGCAATCTATCTCTACCTCCCTTTCAGCACAACGTTAGAGACAAAGAGGCATAGCTAATCGGACAGACGTATAATGTGAATGTAGTAAATGAAAACAGTCATTCTAATCTTATTAACAGCGAGGAGCCGTAGAACAAGACGCTCAAAAACAAATCAAGGATATCTCTTGCTTGGCATAAAATGGTAAATTCCCTTTTCTCTCTTTTCTTTTCTTTTCGTTTTTTTTTTTTTTATTTTTTTATTTTTTTTCAGTCTTGTTCTTTAAGTGACTACCGACCACGTCGAGTTTCATATTCGAACGGACGTCTGCGTGGAACCGAAGCTCGAACGGGGACGATCTCATTTATATAGGGCTCAGCATGTCTGGTAGATATTTCGTTGGTAAGATCGCCCGCCATCCGAAGCGTTTCTTGCCGTTCATATTCTCGTGACATGGCCGCAAGATCGTCAATTTGTTCCTGGTCAAATGTTAGTGACGCGGGTCACACGATCAAGCTCGTCGAAGGGACACAGACTCTCGTTAGAGGTACACCGACTATTAGATAACCTTCGCGTCCCTTGTGGTTTTACATTCAGCTGTTAGGGTCATTGTTTCATAGCTTCGTGTTAGAGTGGTCGTGGTGATCATACCTGGTATGTGTATGGTCTGACAGATGCTGATGGTCCTAGGAAGAATTGTATATGTCCGAGGACAATATGTCGTGATAGACCGTATCCTGGTAGCCAGTACTGCTGAACTTGAGACATCCTCATTGATATGTTTCTTGTCTTTGGTAGGCTGGTATTTATTGTGTGAGTAGGGTTGATGGGGGCGGTTGAGTTGAGTCGTCTGCGATGATGATAACGATGACTGCGAATATCTACGAGGTGCTTTAGGGTTATAAACATCCAACATCGTGTCCACCATGCAAGGGATACTAAGTAGAAAGTGTATGAGACGGCTAGCGTTTTGTACAGTATATATATCGATTAGAACACGGAAACGCCGAGAGATTGTATACTAGCCAGTAGCAGCGATCACTAAGAGAGAAAGATCAGCCAAAGAGAAAAACTCCAGGCTAGATCGCAGTTACGCAACTAAGAAAACCATCATGGGTTTTCGAGAATGAAAGGAAACATGGCTGAGAGAGTCACTTCGTGCTTGCTGATGTCGGATTTCGGGAAACCGCCTCACTCTTTTATCCAACCCCTTTTCGCCAGGAAAAGTGAGGCTTGACTCATCGCCATCCACAAATAGAGCAGTCCTCCAGTAACGCCACTCGTTCCGGAATTATAACGCCTAGGCTTTCGCTCCTGTTCGTCTGAATTCCTTGCCAAGTCTGCAGGGTATATGCACCATCGAAGTCGGTCTGTTTTTGGGTATAATACCGTGGCTCCACGGACTGGGTGAGCTTTCAAGGGGTTATATCTGTGACTATCTGCAAGCCCTGTAGATCCATTAGACTAGGATAAGTTATTATGGCCCAGGGATGGATGCATGGTAAGCCTAAAAGATCCCTGACAATAGAATAACATCTGCAGGAAACACAAGCCGTGTCTAAAGCTTTCGTGCGCATTCCGTGGAATCTACTACATTGAAAAACTATCCTATCTCTGTGACCATCGAATTCCCGTGAATGCATATGGACCAATTGCCAAACAAAGACGTGGACTCCAAGCGCCGGTTTGGAGATGATGCCTACCGAAGTCTTTCTAGGAGGATGCTTCATTGTAGGCTTCTCGGAGAATAAAGTGTGGATCCATTGAGAAAGGGACATTCCTATCATGTAGCCCTAAGATAGGTAGCCAGCCACAGTCAAGATTTACTCTCGATCTCAAGATAAAATACGGCGTGCTTGCAGTAACTTACAAGTTCTCAGTCTCATCTCCGAAGCTCGCGCGGAAAATGTCAATATTTGCCTTGGGCGTGGGCTAACTCACTCCCTTAGCAGCTTTGACTGCATTGTTCTCCTTGAGGATATACGATATCTGGCCGAGGGCCGGCTAGTCCTGTCCGCTAGGAAGGCCCACATGCGAGCAAACGTCTATGATGCTATTGACGTGGACTATCGTAGCAGGGCCAGCCTTGTCGTCGGTTTGAATGTCGTTTGCTCCGCCTGGGCCATCAAGCGAAATACCACAGGAAGAGGCGGCGGGCATTATTGTTCTCGTGCCTCGGATGTGACTGATGCAACAGGTCTACTGCAGTATGGCAGGTTGGTAATATGTGGAAGGGCCATTTTTAGAAAACACATGCCGTCGTTACATTTGGCTGGTGATACCCAGTCTACCGAGTCGGGCAACAGGGAGCTGTCCTTTCACCGAATTTGCACTTAATATACCAAGTACTAAGAGTGACAACCATAGTGTACTTGACCTGGGCATTGGCTCGTTGGGGCGTATTCATTAATCGATACTCTCAACGCGCCCATAACTTCATGGCAAATAGGGGAAAGAGGACAAAGAAAAAAACGTCCATCGTTGGATAAGGTGCGTTCCGGAATGAATGGGCTTGACCTCACGGCTAAGAATGAGGCATTTGGAATCATCTTCGAAGTCAAGAGCACGCACGCAGTTGCTCCTGAACGGGACAGGCTGCATGTGGAGAAGGCCATGCATATGCGCAATTGAGATTTCGGCCTATCGATCTGCTCATCCGCGAACGATGCTTGAGCGGTAACCTAAATGGACCCTTTATAAAGACCCACAATTTGTAAGTTGCAATAAGCTCTTCGAGCCTGAAGAAGGCGGGAGTGAGGCGAACAAGATGACGGTAGCTTGCACGACGCGAATGCAACAAAAGGAAAAGCAAATGAGAGAATTAAATTAGAACCAAAATGCTTTAGGTATTGATGTCCAAAGTGTAGATAATTCGAGGATCGACAGGGCCATACAAGTATCAAACGCTTCGTGCATTACTGTCTATTCTTTCTCATAACTCATCCCAATGGTAACAATTCGCTGAAAACCTCACCTTGCATATTTTTCAGCGCCATCTCCGACGTGACGACCTTCATAATAAACATGCGGTTATTCCGTGATAAAGCGCTTTCGTAGTAGATAGTAAATCCCCCTGCACCGAGAATGCCCCCGTCGAATATCGTTCCCCATCTTCTTCAGGTTCGACGACCGGGTTGAAACTATAGCACGATGCTACATAGCCTCTTTACTGTGGGGGAACATATGGGTGAATGAGCATGTCGCTGAATCTGCAAATGGTTTTTGTTAGTACGGGAGTTATTTTTTGACCGGTGGGTATCAACAAAAACTGACTTTTCAAGTTTCTCCTTTCCTCTGACTTCTTCAACTAGCAGCGGCATCCGGACAACATTGAAATCTTCATAGAGTTCTTCAATCTGTTCAAGGTACTTCTTCTGCATCTTCCTTCGTGCATTGCACTGTTCACACTCACTACCCTGCTTGGGAAACAAAAGCTGATTGACGACAATGGCGTGTGTGTCAATGTTGTAGCTTGTCAGCTCTTGGATCATACGTTCGGTCTCATACAGAGACAAGAACTCAGCAATACAGACACACACAAAGGTGGTCATGTCCGGGTTCTTGAACTGAGTGTTGACTTCGCTGATGGTCTCTCTGAGAGACTCCATCTTCTGCAAAAGTTCGTCAATGTTCTGACCACCGGGCAGACCACCGCGGGAGCCAAGGATGGAGTTCAGCATCGGGCCGAATTGAGACGACAACTGCGAAAGCTTTGCAAGGGCCTTTTCAAGCACGGTGGGGAATTGAAGGAAACGCAAGGTGTGGCCGGTGGGGGCGGTGTCAAAAACAATAACCTCATACGACAAGGATTTGACTTGCTTCAGAACTTCCGCAAAGGACATGGCTTCATCAACACCGGGGATCTGACTTGATTAGCGGAGACACAGTATGATCACCCGGTAGTCCTAGGAAAAACGTACGCTGAATGCTAGATCCTGCATCATGTTCCCAACGCCTAGTCCCGCCATAGGGTCGTCGCCCTGCCCCTCGCCGCTGGCCAGTAGGTCCTGGATGCTGCCATTGGGGTCAATCTCCATAGCACTGAGGTTGGTGTACCCATCGACCAGTCGGGCTTCCTTTCCAAACTTTTGCCCAAAGGCGTCACTGAGGTTGTGTGCGGGATCAGTCGAGATGAGCAGAACCGATTTGCGAGCTTTGGCCAGCTGAATCGCAAGAGAACAGGATGTAGTTGTTTTACCAACACCTCCTTTACCACCAACGAAGATCCAGCGGAGGGTATCCTGGCTGACAATCGACTGGAGCGAAGGCTCCATGAGATCGTCGGCTTGTACGACGGCAGTAGACATCCTAAGCTGGTTTGAATTAGCTAAAATCTATACGACAGACAACTGAGATTCAATGGATTGAAAAGGGACCTAAGTTAAGTTGTGATATAGGCTAACAATGAACACTTATGGAGTTGAGTTTACCACGTAAATTGTTTCCCCGCAAGACCCAAAACTTTTTTGTTGCGGCGATCGAAGCTTCCGGAAGATAAGCCTGAAAAGCTGTAAGTACTAGGAACAAGCTGTTCGCGCTTGCGAAAATTCAGGGGAAATTTCCGGGCCAAAGATCGATCCAAAAGGAGTCTTATCTTGAAAAAGCGCTCGTGGCAGCTGGAAACCAAGAAACAACTCTCCGTTGCTGTCGGTCAAAGGTGGCACGTGCGGAGACCTTCATGCCTGAGGCTTCCATCATGATTCCCCGCCAAAGAATGTGTAGTCAATGCGATGAAAGCGTGACAAAGCTCTTTCCAAAACACTCCTAGAGACTCCTCTCATGTCAATTATAATATTAATATACTCAAGAGTTCTGCACTCAGGATAGAAGGTCTTATGTACCAGAAATTGACAATGTGAACGTTGAATATCACAATTTGTTGCCCCACTGAAGGTATACTCCGGACGGGTTCAATAGACTGTCGGTGGTCTCCGATGCACGAAGAGCGGAGATACAAAAACCCCATAGGCCTACATATAAGGGGATAGGGAAAAAAAAAAGATTCCCCGACATTTTCTTACAATTCCCACTCTCCAATCATTGCTCTCCTTTCCTCAAATATTTCTTCCTTGATAGACATGAGATCGAGTGACCAATTGGGCAGAACCAAAGACCGACTCAGCCTTTACCAACAGCAGCTTCTTCCACCTCTAGCATCCTCCACCGCTAACAATCACTCGATTACTACAAACACATCAGCTGCAATGTCTCGCGACCCTATTACCTGCCACGTCCTCAATACTCTGTCGGGTACTCCGGCGGCGAACCTCCCGGTGACGCTGACTCTCTTGTCGGGCCCTTCAAGTAGTCAAAGCCCCGTCACATTCACTGCAACCACCGATGCTGATGGTCGCGTTAAAAATTGGACGCCTGCGACAAATTGCCCCGCCCCTGTTCCTGCCATCCTCTCATCTCTCCCGGCGGCTGACAGCAAGACACACTGGTCAGTGCGATTCGAAGTTGGACCATGGTATGAAGCGCAAGGAGTCGAGAGTTTCTGGCCCGAGGTGGAGGTGAAATTCACAGTGAAGGGACGTGGTCGAGAAGGGGAGGAGGGATGGCGGCACTATCATGTGCCGGTGCTCTTGGGGCCTTGGAACTACTCAACTTATCGCGGATCGTGAGGCTATCGATAAAGCGCCTGAGGGATCTTATCACCGTTTGATTAGGGTGGAGGCATGGGCTGCTAGATGACGTATATCGATGTATGCAGATACGTAAACACAAAGATTGAGAGTTTCAACTAATTTAAAGACCCTGATCTACCCGTATTGACAATGCACCAAAGTTATTCTTTCCATGTTTCTTCGACCTCCAGCATATCCTCTTCAATGTCCCTCCATCCCAATTGAATCCACCTCTCCGGTCGCTCCAACGCATCCACGAAATGCTTTATCGCTAGGATTAACTGCGATGCCCACCTCTGAGGAGTTACACGCCCAATCCCCGTCGCCAGTGGTGTCATCAGTATACTATCAATCCTGTCCTCGGATCGGTCATGGTTCCAGCCTTCCACTTGACATAGCAAACTCCACACACACTCGTACACCACTTCTCGGTCCCACATAACGTTATCTGGAGCTCGCATGGTCGGACAAACCGCTACCCATTTACAGCCCCAAGCATTTGTGCCTTCCATATCTTTAGGAAACGGGACCAGCGTGCAAGACCCCGGGGGCGCAAAGCCTCTCCATTTTTCGTAAAGCACTTGTTGCGCTGCGCGCGTTAGCGTATCATAAGGATGATGTGGACAGCAGAATTTCCGCGAGATCGCATCATCAAAGGCACCATCCAGGCGGCCGTAGGAATTGGCAGGTGAGACAACTAATTGGAACTTGGTTGTGGCCGGAACCGCATGGAGTCCCATATGAAGCACGGTAATCTTGACCTTCGGGTTTTCCGCGAAGGACGGCCATTGCGTCGGGAGAGCTTCGTTGAATGCCGTGATGAACTTCTCCTCCATGCAAAGGAGGATGATTTCTGGGATATTCTGTAATTTTGCCATTGCGGGCCGAGTTGTTCTCCTGGATGTAATTAACTATCTTCGCATGGAGAGCAACGCTATCTCGAGAGGAGAAAATTAGGCCCCATTTATATAACAGGTCACGAACTACGAGGATGCCTTGTTACTCGTCAGCTTATTACACGAGGCGGAATCGAAGGGCAAAACCTGCTGCCTACTTCATCCTCGCTCTGAGGCAGCTGTTTTACTACGATAGAGAACAAGTACATGTGTCAATCCGATACTAAGGGACTTCTTGATAGTTAAAACCTAACAGCTGGTACCACAGATCACAGGCAGTGAGGATCGAATCGGCAAACCTAGGGCTACCGCACTCGTATTATTCCTGATTCACCCGAGATCTCAAACAAAGCCACTCCATAATCCCTTTTCTTTTTCTGCCAACCCAAAACCTAAATGAACTCGATGCCAATTATGCATAATATTTAACATTCGCATTATCAGTCAGCATGTCAGGGATTGTGCATTGTCAACTGGCCTGCAAATGCAGCGATACCCTTAGATTAATGACTACTACTACTGCCTGTTGTACAAGCCATACATGCCTACTAGGCAATGTACGACTATGTACTGCACCCCGATACTTTTGAGGGTTACTCGTTGAACTGTAAGCAAACAAATTCCAGTCGACAATAGGCATCTATCCCCAACCAACTTTGACAAGCCTGAACGGGTGGAGGCAATGGTACTTTGTCCAGAACCTCAACTCAGTGGCAATCCAAGAAATTCAACTTGTCTTTGTCTGGCCCACCAACGAGAGCAAGCGACAATACATCACGTGATAGAAACCCACGGGACGTACGTCCCAGAAGCATTGCGTCATCAGCAGGACCCAATCAGCAACTCCATCTGCATTCTCCAGACGGCGAGAACCCCCTGAGAAACCAAAGCATGGACGGTTCGAAGGCCATCGATTCCTTGTTCATTATCTCCTGATGAGGGCCCGCCAGTGGCTATCGTACTAGTAGTATTTCATCTCATCTATCGCGTTAGGGTTTGACCATTCAGTTGACGGGGATGATTCACCGCCCTGCAAGAGAACAAACATGGCCTAAATCCTGATTTGCTGTTTCGAATCGACGGCAGATCCCATTGCAGCCTTGGAAGTTTGGAGATTCAAAAATCATGTTACTGTGTACTCTGTATATTCTGGAGTCACGACCAAAGGTGTGGGGCTCAGAATCAGGGCGATGAGTGGCTGGAAGTAGTGGAGCCGCTACTACGAGTAGCTCTGGCGAGTGGCCACCGAAGTGTTCTCCACTCGTAGCGGCCACCCGGCTGGTCCGACAGCCCAGAAAATTCCTGTCGTCGTCACCGTGACTTCATCTCTTCTGCCTTTTTTTTTTTTTTTTTTTTTCCCTTTTCTCCTACATTCTGTCTCCCTTCTGAATTGGGCGTGTTTGTCACGTCGGTTCTTCAATTTTCTCTCTTTTGGGGTCTTGTCATCTACAATTCGGTTATCCCTAGATTATTGAAACATTCCTGATATTTTTGCAAGTGACGGGTGTCCGTTTTGGAGTTGGTCTGTTGTTTCCGCCCTCACCATCGTGTCCACGGGCTTTCGTCATTCATATTGGTCGAAACGTATTGCCGAGTGTCCACCTGTCTCCAAGTTCTTGTTGCAAGTCCTGTACATACTCCATAAGGGTCATCCAGCGTCCGACTGCATAATTCGCTGCTTGATCGTGATTATTTTTGTTCCCCTCCTGTAAGGTTGATTCTTTTCCATCCGAGTGTTTCCCTTTTTCCTTCCTGTCATTCCGTCTATCAAAATTTAGCCCTTGATATTTGGATTAGAAATCAACGAAGGCAAAAAAAAAAAAAAAAAA